TGTAATTTATTTAAATTGAACACATACTCTATGGTACGTTTATTTATCGATTAATTTAAAATATGAACAACGCGTGTAGAATGCATCTATCTATAATTAAATACATGCTTAAAAATCCGGTATTCTTGTTGTAGCACTTTACGTTTTTGTTTTTTTTTTTTTTTTTTTTTTTTTTTTTCAGCAATTAGAAATGATTTTCCGCATGTATGGTGAATTTATTACACCTATTCGAACAAAAATTGTATTCAACCTTTTCTATACTTATTAGAAACAATACATTTCTATTACATTTAAATATTACTTCCATTTGTATCGTGTAAGTATAATAAAAAGAAACAATTTTAACGAAATCTTTGAAAAATCATGATCAAAAATTTTGCACCCTCTTCTACATATTCGTCTTTAAACTTGTCAACCCTTCTATATAATAAAAAAAATGTATTCTACTTTACTTTACATACTTTTGTATGTATTCCACGTATATATGCATATGATTATTTATTAATTAACAACGATCATTATCGAATTGACGTATCAAATCAAATCCTGACTTGAGTACAAGGTTTTAATATTTATTCCAAAAAAAATAAAATCCTATTATATAATATAAAGAATAATGACAAGTAATACAATAATTTATCTTTTATCTCATAAGTAATGAAAAATAAAAATAAAAAGAAAAGAAATATTATTCGTTCTGTACGAGGGGTATCGAAATAAGTTTCATTTCGTCGACTGTACCTTTAATATTCAGTAGAAGAAAAAAAAAAAAGAAAAAGAAAAAAAAATCTCTCTCGGAGTTAACGTAATACGTAATTCGCGTAGATGAAATTGCAGTCGGAAGTTGGTGGTAGGTGCAGGTGCAGGTGCAACGATGCACACGCGCCAGACGACTTGTCGGAGATGCCGACAACGTTATAACGTTTGCAATGGTATTGTGATGGTGTTATACTGATAGTAGTAGTAGTAATGGTGGTGGTGGTAGCTTGCATTCGTGGAAAACGATGCTGCTTCTCTTTGCTTTTCTTTCTTTCGTTTGCAAGTTGGTTGGTTGGTTGGTTGGTTGGTTGCACGTTATGTCACGTGTTGAAAAATACCGCCGACTAACCGGAGCCACACGCATGCATCATTCTAAGGCACCCTTTTACTCACAAACTAAACAACTCCCTAGAAACCACCCACCACCACCCCCCTTCCTCCCTCCTCACTCTTCTAAGACCACCCATTCGCTAATTTAACACTAGATTTACAGAGATCTTTCGTTCATTATTTTTTTTTAATGACTTACAAACATTGTTTGAATTAATATTTAAGTATAATTCATTACGTAACTAAATATCAACATATATATATTTTTTTAAATAATATTTAACTTTTATGTATATATATATTTCTATTTTTTTAAATGAATCAAATTGGATCATTTCGTATAAATCTAGTGTTAGTAATAAATTATTTTAATTTGTAATATATAGAAAATATCTTATTATTAATATCAAAAAAATAAACGAAGGGTAATATGTTGTTTTTCTTTTTTTTCTTAATCGTAATTGTAACGTCGAATTAAATTAGACGATTAATTTCTCCCCTCTTTAAAAACTTTGAAATTTTTTTTCAATGGAAGAAAAAATACAAATGAATTTATGAGAGAGTAATCATTGAGATGTTTTATTAAATGATTATTATTATTATGATAAATAAATATATTCGTATCGATCGTTACAACATATTATATAATCGAAGCGAGAGAGTCATGAAAAAATTTAACGCAATAAAAATAATATTTTACGATATATTTCTTAAATCGAATTATTAGCATTGTGTAAGATAAAATCATTTAAAAAAAAAGAAAAAAAATGAATCGTCGTAATTTGTTGCTACGTCCAATCGTCGATTATTATTAACCCCCCCCCCCGGAGCGCATTTTATTTAAATTGCTTTTTTTTTTTTCATTAGTTGTCAAAAAGAATTTTCCATAAAATATTTTATGAAAGGACACGAATTACAAACGCCATTATATATAAACATTCTTTTACGAATATTATTTTCTGTGATGTTTATGCACGCGATTATTAACAAATGCAAATTATTCTATTCTTCCTATCATAAACGTGCCTTTCGAACAATATTATTAAATAACAAATAATTTCAATATCATTTCTCTTTCGATATTTCGATTATTTCATTTAATTACACAATCTCTTCTTTTTTGTTTTCTTATTTATACATTGCGTTTTAAAAGAATAATCAATAAAATCAAATTAAAAAAAAATCCATTACAGAACAACGTCGTCGTTGAAATTCATTCGTTCTGACATTACGCGCGAGTATAACATTAATCTCGAGAATCTTAAAAAAAAAAAAGTATTAAAAAAATATATTTATAAAAAAAAAACTGGCATTTTTTTCACTATGGAAAATATGAGAACAATGGGGGTTTTACGTATACGCGTACCGTTGGGCGTCATTGTCAAACAAGGGAATAACGGATACGAAGATAATTAACAAAATACATTGTGCAATTCCGTTATTACCGGGAATGATTGTAGTCGAAGAGAGAGAGAGAGAGAGAGAGTGAAAGAAAGAGAATGGCCGAAAACGGACGAACAAAAAAATAATTTGAAAAATAATCGCTTGATTTATAACGATGTATTCACAGACAAGGATATGCCTATTAATTTTAACTATGTAATAAATACAAAATGAGGCGACATATCATCGTCCCATTAAAAATTGCTATAAATATACGTCGACCTGGACGCACTTTTCGAAAGCGTAATAAAAGTGTTCTTTCTGTTTTTCTTTTTTTTTTTTGTTTTTTTTGTATTTTATTTTTTTTTGTCGCAAAAGCTCGCGTTAAATCGTTCAGACATGCTATAAAACGATTCAACTTTTCCGTAAGTTTATATATATATATATATGAAATCTTAATCATTTATTTATTTTTTTGTTGTAAATAAAACAAAACTTTTTTTTTAAATAACTGTATATATTATACGTTTGTTAGGATTAATTAATCAATTTTGTTTGATAGTCAAATCTCACAGTAGAACTAGCCAATTGGAGATACACCATAAGTAGAGTACCGTATAGAGACCTTTCTCCATTAAACAATGTGTCTCACCCTATGTTACCAGAACACAAGGTTACACAGTTGACCATGAGCTAACTATGTCATGAAACTGTTCTAATTGTTTCCTCGTTTATTATTCCATTAAGTGGCTGCATCAGACGACTTCCTACAACAGTGTCAATTTATGCAAGGTACGAATAATTCAGGATGCAGATGTACCCTTTAACGCGCTCGTATATACAGATTAACCAGAGCTACTTCTCCTCATTAACGCATACCAAATGAAAGCCCCTTCCTCCGTATTCTGAATAAGTAAATCCTCTTGTGTTGCTGGTTGCGATAGCAATATTCTTGATACTTTCGGCTAATAGCTTTTCGATACTTATGAAAATGGGTATAATACACTTAGGATATACACTTTGTGCTTTTATAGTTCAATGAATAACAATATTTTTAATTGTTCGACAATGATGATGTTGGAAATAAATCATGGAATACGTCAGGATTATATTTATCTAAGAAAAGGCAATTGAATATATCGTTATAAAAATCAGGATAATATTCGCAAGCCCTTTTGCAATCTGGCGAAAAATTAATTTCCAATAGAATCGGTTGCATCTCGCTTTTATTCCATTCCAACATCAAATCAATGGCGTATACGGCCCTACTTTGTGGAAAATGAGCTATTCCTTTCGGTGGTTTTTCAGCTACAGCAGCTTCGAATATATCCTTAAACATGTTTAATATCGTTGGCTCGATAAATGATGTCCAAGGATAATCGGGATATTGTTTTTCCCATTCAACGATAAAATCGGCACATTTCAAATGGCATAGATCCGTATTTTCGGAATAATTCATTACGGTAAAGTGTTGTTCGTATACGTCGAAATTGTTTAATGCAAATTCTTTGTTAGCAAATCTTAAGAAGAAATTGGAATAGGCGTATGCTTTCAATGGTGAGACAGATTTTAACATGACGACGTATCTTATATCGAATTTAACGAAACCTATTTCTGGTCTATCATATAACACAGGTTCAGATATATATTTTTGTGCAATTTTAGGACCAGTACTAGGTAATCGTAAGATGTGAAAAAGATTGTCTGTAATATGAGTATCCAAACCTCTTGCCAAATTCCATGGTTTGCAGATCCACAGATTGTCCAAGTTTTTCGATTCTCGTTGTTCAAAATATGCGACAAATTGTACCAATTCTGTATTTAAATTATATGTCGTTGGTAACCATATTGGATAAGTTTCTAATGTATCAACATCGTAAGATTTCTCCGATGCCTTACGTCTACATACGATGGACAAAAGATCCTTTATTGTCAAGATATTTTCGAAAGGAAATTGATTGACGAAAACATGAGGCATACGAATGCATAATTCTTTGTATTCCTTGAAATGAGAAGTGTACCATAAAATATCAGCATCTTCTTCCCTGTCTACAATTTCAAATGCGGTATCTGTTAAATAATTATTTACAAAACTATATTCAGAATAAACTTTAAGTTTTTCATTTGGTCCTCGTACGATTGCTTCTTCTAAGTTTATTTTGTCAGGCACATCTTCTAATATATGACCAGCCAAAAAATAATCTTCGCTTGGACTATCCTGAACGAAACTTTTATTAATAAAAGAATTATCTATCCATGGTAATAATAATGCTTGTCTTTTCTTTAAATCACTAGTTTGACCATCGATAAAATCTCTGGTAACTTCTTCTTCGAATTTAACATCCTTTATAGGAAATAAAAGTGTATACGTTACACCTTCTGGTAAATAAAGAAATGGTACGGTCCTAAAGTTAGGATAATCGCTATGATTTATAGCGGATCCAACTTCATCCATTATATACCAAATGGGCATTCTATCTTCTATGGTACCACTGTTAAGAGAGAATGACTGATTATATCTCCACATTTCCTTAAGTACAAATTCAATCTTTTCGTTCTCTTCGTTATCAATATCATATCCCATAAGAGAACACATTCTATCTAAGAGGGCTGGTACATTGGTTAAATTTTCTCTCGCATTAAGTGTATCATATGTCCACGCGTGATCCACTAAATATATATTATTTGGATCTATCATAGAAATACCATTTTCTGCTGACACAAACAATTTCCAAATGGGATCCTTAGGCTCTCTTTCATCATCTTCATAATCAATTCTTGCCAATTGAAATGCACTACCGGCATCGAAATCCTGATTTTTTAATTTATTATATAAAGCTTCCCAAAATATTTTTGGTACTCCGGAAGACTTAAGCTGGGGTTGATGTGTTTGTAAAAATATACGATACAATCCAATTCCATCCATTCTGTAAAAAGAGAAAAAAAAAATGTTATAATTAACAATATTATATTAAACAAGATTAAATTATCTCTAACTATACATTTAAGAAATGAATAAGAAGATAATTTATAGATAAGTCATATTAATTTGAGAATTATTCATTACTTATATCTTTCATACGTTGATATTATCGATATTATTATTAAATAATGTGAAAAAAGAAAAAAAGTTTAAATCGACATCGTCTTTTATTTACCTAACCTCTTTAACTTAGACTTAATACGGTATCTATTGGTCTACTAACTATATGCTCACTTCATATTGTTTTTTTCTCTCTATAAAATTAAATGAAGAATAAAGTAAGAAAGATAGACAACTCACTTAGCAAAATTGAAACATCTGTTATATGTTAAAAAACATAACAAAAGATATTGTCCCTAAAGGAAACTAAATAATCTGTCCAATGGATCACTACTGGGTGTTGCACAATTCTGTCTTTCATAAGAGTGTTCAGAAATTTTACAAATAAAATGATACATATACAAGCTTGTACAATATTTAATAATCATTCTTATCCCTTAAAGCATAATTTCCTAATTACTAATCCTATTTTTGATGTAATCTTAAAAACGAACCTTAATAGTACCCTATTAGGGAATTTTTTTCATACAACAATATTCCCTAAAAAATATACAACAATAAAAAAGATACTTGTAAACATGACTTGAAAAAGTTTACTATTACGTGATCATTGTCCTATTCATCACTGTATTCACACATTCACCCATATTAATTTATACCTTTATATATGATTTAGGACATATGATATATATATATATACATAACATATATATATACATTTATTCTGCTTTATATAGTGTCCGGTGCAAACTGCAATTTATGATCCGTTTATAACCTAGGTCTAATCTATGATTATTATTTTAATTAAGTATACTCGTAGAAGTATATGTCAAGCAAAATAATATAAACATTTGCATATGAATTTTCATATATTAACTGTTTTATATAATATTTAAATAAACAATTAAATAATTTTTTTTATATCCGTAATTTTTACGGAATATAACCTAAATCAAAATACAATAATAATAAAGTGATTTCCAGTGGCATGCAGCAATATTATATATTCTAATAATATAAATAATATATACATATATATAAATAAATATATACAAGAAAATATAAAAATTGCATTCTAATAACCATGGCAAATACAGGAGTTTTACCTTTTGTTCGAGGAGTAGATTTTAGCTGTAATGATTTTGGAGTAAGTA